TGGGTTCACACACAGTTACAGTAAAGACCTCAGCTAATCCCATGTGGAATTCTGGAGCTGGGATGGCCCTTCAGAATTGTCCCAAACTGGGGCAAGGGGTCCATTATATACTCCTATCTTAGTCTAGTCACTGGATACAATGTGTCTGCAGGAAGGAAGAATGACTTTGGGTGATGTGACTTTCCTCAGCCACAGGCAATGCTCAGGCAGGGGACCTCAGCTACAAGCTGTAACACAGCAATATTTCCAGAAGGTGAGAGAAGGAGGGCTCTTGTTCTGAAGGCAGAGGCTTTAACCCACTGAGCCACCCAGGCGCCCCAGGGCTCTTGTTCTGAAGGGAGACACAGCACACATCACAACACATACCATAATATGTACTGGGAAAAACTTCTTGGAATAAAGGAGAGTCTTAAAGATTTAGAAGTTGTATCCAAAGTTGAGTTTATGTGTGGGCTATAGATATAATAAAGATACAGAAGGTTTAGAGAAATTGCAAGTAGTTTCTAGAACATAATAACGAGGGGGTATTTAGTTAGGTGAGGTTGTGGGAGAGTATATTAGTAATAGCTGAACACATAGGTAGGGTCAGGTCATAAAGACTTTCAAGTGACAGACTTTAATCTATAGTTGCTTTTTTTTTCTTTTTTTAAGAAAGGGTGATTTGGGGAGGAGGGCCAGAGGGAGAGGGAGAGAGAGAGAATCTTAAGCAGGCTCCACACCCATATGGGGCTCAATCTCATCAACCTGAGATCATCACCTGAGCCAAAATCAAGACTTGGATGCTTAACTGACTGAGCAACCAAGGCACCCCAACCTATAGATAGTTGAACATTGTTGAAAGAGATGAATAAGAGCAGAGACCAAAGTCAGATTATCTTTTAGAAAAACCATCCCAACAACAGTGTGGATGATATATTTGAGAGCATCAAGATTGGAGTCAGGAAAGCTATACAATAGTTTGGGTGTTAGATGATGAGGACCTGAAAAATACTACCTCTCTAGAAGAAGTATTTAATAATTTCACATAAATTGTGTGTTATCTTACATGATGTGTTTATCATGACACTCTCACATTATTTTTTTTTCTTATTTGTATTCTCCTGGGTTCCATAGATTTTATTTTCTATCTGAGAAAATCATTTGGGGTTTCCTTGGAGGATAAAAGGAAAATATGTATATTCTATGTACATTTGTAAGCTTATCTATCTATTCAACAACACTTACTTTTATCAATATGTGTCCAGAGCATGAGAAAGATTTTTTAAAATTAGATTTATATATTATGACCACAGCTATAATAAGGGTTTCCAAAATAAAATTTCTGTTAAGACAGAATACTTAACAAAAACAAAACAAAACAAAAAAAAACCACCTCTCAAAAAACCATCTGAATTTAATTTGGAAGAGGAAAAAATACAGAAAATTGAAAAATATAAAACAAAACCTAAAACATAACATGAATTCCATAGCTCTGCTTTTAGTTGAAATTTACTTGAATCTGAGCAGGTGAGATGACCAAAACCACAGTTTCTTTATATTCAAAATGTGTCTGGTGATAACTACCTCAAAAATTCATTGTGAAGATTGAATGCCTAATGTGTTAAAAACCACTTCATAAATTATAAGACACTATACAAATGCTAGTACTTATCCTTTTAATGAATTATCACAATGAGACATTCCTTTTTCATTCAGAAGGAAGAGAAATAAGTGGGGGAATATCAGTGGCAAAGCTGGACATCTGGACATCTAACTCAGGCCATGCTTAGTGTTCCTGGCTTGAGTGAGTGATGATACAGGTGGGGAGGGAAGTCACAAGGGTATACTCCCTTTTCAAGCTTCTGTTTCATTTTCTTTGAAAGAGTGAATAAGACTGTTTTACAGTGTGCTTATTTTCAGTAAGTTCTCACCAGAACAGGCATTATGTTTTAATGAGTTCTAATTTCCCATTTGATGCCAACATGAATCTTTTTTTTTAAATATATATATTTTATTTATTTTTTATTACATTTTTTTAATTTTATTTTTTATAAACATATAATATATTTTTATCCCCAGGGGTACAGGTCTGTGAATCTCCAGGTTTACACACTTCACAGCACTCACCATAGCACATACCCTCCCCAATGCCCATAATCCCACCCCCCCTCCCAATCCCCCTCCCCCCATCAACCCTCAGTTTGTTTTGTGAGATTAAGAGTCACTTATGGTTTGTCTCCCTCCCAATTCCATCTTGTTTCATTTACTCTTCTCCTACCCCCTTAACCCCCCATGATGCCAACATGAATCTTATACTTAATTGCATGAAGAGGTGATGATTACAGACCTATTTTCTGCTGGGTCCTGGCAAGACAGAGTGCCAGAGCCACCAACTTTATTACAGCAGCATTACAGAGGAGGAACCACACCAAACTAGGTAGGAGTCAAACATTCCCGATTTAAGTCCTTCTCCTTCCTTGGGAAAAATGTTGCCTATTTCTGGACCTCAGCTTTCTTTTCTTGACAACCCAGAGGATTGGAATTAAAAGTATTAAGTGCCTTCTGGATTTATAACCCTGACTCTCAAGGTTCACAATTCTCTTAAAAAAGAAAAGTGGAGGGGCGCCTGGGTGGCTCAGTGGGTTAAAGCCTCTGCCTTCGGCTCAGGTCATGATCCCAGGGTCCTGGGATCGAGCCCCACATCGGGCTCTCTGCTCGGCAGGGAGCCTGCTTCCCTCTCTCTCTCTGCCTGCCTCTTTGCCTACTTGTGATCTCTGTCTGTCAAATAAATAAATAAATCTTAAAAA